ATATATATATTTAAATGTACTCTGTCTGTCAACAGCGAGAAGAACCGCCACTCTGCTCCAACATCAGTCAAACTTAAAGGTATGTAAATGTGTATTTTTTATTTGTTTAATTCTGTTTAAATGTGTGTATACATATAAATATATATATTTAAATGTACTCTATCTGTGTGTGTGTGTGTGATTCTAGCAGCAGCAGCTTTGCCCGGCAGATAGAAGCGGAGTCCTCTTTTTTTTGTTGTTGCGCAAAAACTAACAGGTCAGTAAAAAATGTTTTTTTATTTAGAGTTATAATGTTTTTACATTTTAAAATGTTGCAAATTGATTTTTAATTACTTTTGTCTATCTTTCTTTTTTTTTTGTACAGGGAAAAAAACATGTCAAAGAGGCTTGGATCACCGGTAAAACCCTCTGATGAACAGCCAGAAAAAAAAAGTAAAAACGCTTCTACCTCTACAGACCTAGAAAAACAGAATGCTAATCTCGAATCAGATGCCGAATTGGCACGTTCTTTACCTCGGTATCTGTCTCTAGACCGGAGCCCGGAGCTCCTAAAAAAAATAAAAGTTTATACATATTTAGAAGTCAGGTTCCACCAGCACATCTGTTACACAGAGAGTTCTCTTTAGAGAAATATGGATACACTGCGAGCGTGGGTTACGTGTTTAATTACCATAGGGGGGAGGTTGGTTTTCACCAAATTCGTGAGAACTAACAGTTTTCAACTGACACACCTCAGTCCATCTTAAAATACGAGGATTGGCTTGTTCTAATGGCGTTACTGCCATTAGATGAATTTATTCCTAAAACAACCCCAGATATGTCTGAAAAAAAAAACGTATTATTATCTGGAGTAATCCCCCCACGCGAGCTGAGATCACTCAAAAAAAGCAGTTATACAAAGCTTCCTGGACCTCAGATACTTGTCACAACAGGGTGTGGAAATTACAGGCATGCATTTATGAAAATGACCATCTACACCCCCACAATATGTTCTTATTAGATAGTATTAATTCAGATTGCGGTGCATTTTGCGTAGTTTGGTCACTGCCAGTGATTGCGTTACACGCTATTTTTCGCGAATGCAACGTAGCTTTCGAAATAACCAATCTTTTTCAGACATGTCGCCAGTGGAATGATATCGTGGGGATTAAAAAAACGTTAGATTTTAACCCTTAATCTCTCACACACACACACACACACACACACACACACACACACACACACACACACACACACACACACACACACAC